TGCTCCTTCTTTCCTGTCAAACATCTATCGTCCTTACCTCTCTCCTCCTTTTTTGTGTATGTGTTTGTCACACTCAGGTAACACGTCTAATCTTATAACTTCTAAGACCTTATTGTGTTGCATGTGCCGTAAAGCTTTAACTGAAATTAAAATGAGTCTTCAAAAGCCAGAAGGTTTCACAGATTGTATTGGAGGTGGGGGGGGGGGGTTAGTTGTTGTTTTTCTTTTCTTTTGATGATCAGAAATATTCTAGACAATCTCTTATCTATAGCACGGACAACCTTCCTCATGACTATGGTAAAGAAGAGAGAGACACATACATTATAAATGTGAAGGTCTGCTTTTCTGAGTACCGACAATACCCCACAATAAGATGTTTCTGCCTTTCCTAGTTTTTGTAACGACATTGTAATTTTAGCAAGCATTTATGGCTGATCCTATAGTCAACCCATTTATAACTGACGCCCTCTTTTCCACCTTTGAGAGGTTAAAAGGTTTCATACCAACCACCATCATGTCACTGTATTCCAAGCCTGAAATGAGATAACATCTGTCGCTTCTCGTGTCATCCCTACTGGCTACTGAATTGCCCTCCCCCTACCCCACCCCCCGGATGGTAGCCGGCGTTGAATAAGAATGACAAATAAAACTTCTAAATAGATATAGAACATCAGTATCATGACATAGCTAATCGGTGCCTTGAACAGTTCTAACCAGGTGACCACTGAAAACTCAAAACGTAAGGACACTGAAGACACACCCGTAAAGACAAAGATACAAAGTTCATGTGAAATCCTGCAGTACAAAATGCGCTGAACTCGTAGGGGTTTCTAATGTTCATGTTTCTACCAATACAGGAAACAAACAGCAAAGATAACGCTGTGTCACAGGGTTTGTACATCAGAACGATTGTCTCTGAAGTTGCAACACATATAAAACGTCTCCGGATGTTAAGATAACACAACATAACATTGTATTGCTATTTACTAATTTACTGTGGCATACAAAAAGCATACTACTCACACGCAAACATCAAGGCACACGTACACGGACACACACACGGACACACACACACACACACACATACACACAC